TGGAATATTTAATCTTCTAGCATTTATTTCTCAAGAAATACTGGCTTTAAAAGAAGCAAAGCACTACCATTTTTCTTTCTATACCAATATTTTTTAATGCTGCTTCTAGATTTAAAAGGGAACAAAGTTGCCATAAGTCAAAATTTACAATACTGAATGCTAAAATCTTCATATTTTTACTTCAAAAATTTGTTTTAAGTTTCCACATCCTAAGCAGAGAGATTATTTTCAGTTTCATATGAAACTTTAATTAGAAAAATTATTTGTGGGTACTCACTAGAAAAATATTTTTTCTATATATTGACAGTTTTGGTTATGTCATCAGTAATGTTATGTGTTTCCTCTTTCAGAACAGTACTGTATTCATGGATTGTTATGGCAAAGGAAATCTGGCTATTTGGGCATATTTAACCCACGGGCAGATTAACTAGTGAAATAATTATTTAATTCTTAAGGTGGCCAATAGTAATTAGAAAAAAAGTTACATAGCGGTCTTAGTAGAAAATTCAAATCCTCCTAACTTAAGGTTAAATAATATGTTTTACAGCATGCCTGTTATATATAATGCTTAGGTTTTAAGGAACACTTAATGGTTTTATACCAAAATACATTTAGCTTCTCTTTTAGGAAGGGGAAAAGGGCTGTATTCTGACATTAGTAAAATTTATATTTTACTTCCTTTTTTTTTAAGCTCCACTGATAGGGAATTGTTTTATCAAAACTTTATGTCTGGATCAGAAGAGGCATAATTTTAGTGATTTTCAAACTAATGGAAAAAAGCTAGTGGAAGTAATACATGTAAGTAAAATTAAAGGCAAAGCTGTTCCAGTTGAATTGGGTGGGCAATGAGGATTTATTAGCTCACACTTCCCACCTTTGTTTAGGTGTCCCTCTCAGAGTTCAGCTTGTAAACCACTGGATAACCCATTGTGTAGCGGTGGGTCTTTGAGATTCATTGGTTTTTTGAGAATCTGGTGAAAGGTAGGGACTCTCTTCCTGGAAAAAATGCATATTAACACACGCACATATGATGCTGCATGCAGTCTTAGGGATTCTGGACATGTTGAAAACTCACAGATTTGGTTAAGGACCTGTATCCTATAAGAACACTGATATGTTAAACTAAGAACTTTGTTTTAAATTTACTGATACTCAGATTAGCACATCTTGTATAAACAGTGATAATCTGTGATGGAAAAAGTCTATACCATGTGATAAGATATCCCTAGGAATGCCTCTCTCTTGCTGGTACAGCACTAAGGCATTTAAACATACTCTTGAGGGCACTGAAATAAATGTTTGACTTGTTATAGGCTTGATATGGAAATATTTCTGAAGGACTTCTAATCAGAGAATTGTAAGAAAAGGCACTATAATGAGTTGGCAGTCTTTACTTCATGGAACATTCAATTAGTGCTATAAAATCCTATTCGAAACAAAGTAGTTCAAGAATTTTTAACTCAGTACTCAAACTTTAAGATATCCCTCTGGCTCTTTGGGTTTTCTGTCAGATTTATTGGAATTTCCACTTAGTTGTTTTACTTTTGGATTGTGCTGCAATGCAATGTACAAAACCAACTTTGTTACATTTATGTTGTAGGAAAACTAAGGTGCTGTCTCCTCCCCCTCTCCCCACAAAATCTGTGTTGACACTACAAATTTTGTGTTCTTTTAAAATTTCCTCTGACAACATAAGCTTTTTGTGTTTATGTGAAGCAGTAGACAAGCCTTTGGTATCTGCAGTTTTAACAGTCTGGATATACTTATTAGCTATCTTATTCCCAAACCATATCCAGTCCTTCTAGCACAGAATCTGGTGCTTCCTGACCAAAAAGACGAGAACATGAAAAAACCTATTGCTTTCAATTGAAATAGAGTGAAAACATTGATTATACGTGTTTTCTTTTTCAAATAATTTTCCCATTCATGAAAAAACTTGCTGTCTTTCTTATACTTATCCCCATTTTATGTATATCAATAGTATTTATAAAATGTGTTCTATAATTATGTAATTGTAGATACTGTTATGTATTGTCCAGTGACATTCTAAGGCAGGCCTTATTGCTATATCTTTTCTACCTTATTTGTAATAGGAACTATAGAATGTATGACTAAGAAGTCACTTTGAGATTGACTTTTTAAAAAAGTTATTACCTTCTGCTGTTGCAAAGTGCAAAACTGTGAGCGGAAATGTTTTATTCTGACTTAATAATATGTTAGAAATTAGAGAATACAGTGGGAGGAGTTTTAGATATTGCTGCTGCTGTTACCTAAGGTACTTTAGAAATTTTTCTTTAATAAACAAAAATAAACAAAAATCCCTTCGGTATTTAAAGTGAAACATTTATTTAGCCTGTTCGTTTTAATCTAAAGCAAAAAGTAATTTGGGTCAACATATTGGTATATTTGTAAAGCGCCTTAATATATCCCTTTGTGGAAGGCACTATACCACAGTTTACTTTTATATTGTATTGTGTATATAAGTATTTTGTATTAAAATTGAATCAATGCGACACTACAGTTTTATAAAATAATGCTTTGTTAGGAAAAGGAATTACAGCTTTGCAATATAACTAAATTGTTTTGCATACTTCTGAATGTAGTAGATATGAATAATCAGCCTGTGTTTTTAATGACTCTATTTGTATTTTCCCAATCATTTTCTGTAGTGTAACATTTGCTGGGATAATAAAAAAAATAATAATTCCAATCTTTCAATTATGTGTGGAGAGCTGACTATTAAGGCACTTAGTATGTTGATTTCATTTTCAAAAATGTATTTTAATCTTTATTCTCAAATTTATGATTAAAAATTCAATGTTTTAGATTAAAATATATACAACTAATGATAATAGGGGTAAGGCAAACTGAGTAGAGTTAGTCTAAGACAGTTTTCATTTTGCCCAACATAAGTACAATAAATATTTCATGTTAAAGGCTTCCTTTAGATCAGCACAGATTTAAACCTTCCTGATTATCAGACTCCTCAATTTGTATCATGAGTCCACTCTAAAATTTTTAAAATATGTAGTTGGATAATCTGTTTTATTTATAATCCTTTATCGCATGACTGCCTACCAGAGAAAATAACATATATTGATGCTGTATCTTAAGTCAGCTTTACATGGATGAATATTTTTAGTTTTTATTCTTTTTGCTTTTTCAAGCATTACCATCATTCTTAGTCTCCTTTATTCTTTTGTTTGCACTTCCTTATAAAATTATTTTTAGTCTACTCGAGGCTGTTGTATAACTGATGCAAGTTGCATATTCCTATGATTCATTATACTATACTATAAACCCACTTTTGGCATGTTTGTGACTCTACTTTGTTATGCCAAAGCCAAACACACAAAAATTTATCTACTTGTGTGTGTGAAGAGTACAGGAAAGAGGTCAAATTTATGTCTGAAACATAGGCAGTTATTGTTGTCCCTAACATCTAGTCTCTCCTTATTCCTACTTTAAATCCAGAGATCCTAAACATACTGCTGGATTCAGAATCTGGGTGGGACTTTGAGTTGTTTCCCCCGGAGAAGGGTTAAATTTGTTCCGTGGTGGAAAAAGGGATTCTCATGAGTTCTTGGTCCCCAGAGTGGCTAATGACAAAGGCTGCTCTTGTTCCCCAGCATCCATTCTCTCATTCTTTTTTTTTTTTTTAAGATTTTATTTATTCATGAGAAAGACAGAGAGAGGCAGAGACACAGGCAGAGGGAGAAGCAGGCTCTATACAGGGACTCCGATGTGGGACTCCATTCCGGGGCCTCCAGGATCATGCCCTGGGCCGAAGGTGGCACTAAACCGCTGAGCCACTCAGGCTGCCCAGTTTTCTCATTCTTTCGTGAATAGAGCCCCCATCCCTGTCCAAATTTTGACTGCCCTGCTAGAGCAGCCCATATTTCTCATATTCCCTTGTATTCTCTCATGAATAAATAAAATCTTCAAAAAATGTAAAAACATAAAATTTAAAAAAAGAAAAGAACCTGGTTACCTGAAAGATGTGTGGTGACACACATCTGTCTGTCCAGGCTGGTCTGATAAACTGCAGAATGTCTGTATGTGTGTGATTGTGTGTGTATCATCTCCATTTGTTACTGTTGCTGAATTTATACCCTAATTAATATAGAATTTATAATCCGATATAATTCATAATCTGATTTGCAAAACAATTTAAGGAGGTCATTTTGTACTCTGATCATCTCCCATGCAATCAATCATGAAACTCAGTTACTTTACCTTGTACATTCTTCTCTAATTCCTCTTCAGCCTCATTGTTACTACTCTGGTTGAGGCCAGAGTTGAGCTCTTACCTGAATTACTGCAATAGCTTTCTAACTATATTCTTTGATTTCATTCTGGTCCTTCAGGTTTATTAGCTAAACTACCACCCAAATGACCTACCTGAAAAATAACTGGATTCTGTTTCTACAATGACTACATAAGCTCCTAATGATTGACTTTACCCAGAACTGTTATAAACTCTGGGAAAAATACAAAAACAGCCACCTAAAAATACTGAGTGCAACCAAGAATAGGCAGATTCTGGATGGAAGTCAACCCTTGGAAGAAAGGAATGGCACTAGATTATCTAATTTTCATGATATCTTGGCTGAGAAATCCCCAAATCTCTAGCTGAATCATTTACCACACATCTGTGGAGAAGAATTTTTTTTTTTATGATTTTATTTATCCATGAGAGAGACAGAAAGAGAGAGGCAGAAGGAGAAGTAGGCTCCATGCAGGGAGCTGGATGTGGGACTTGATCCTGGAACTCCAGAATCATTCCCTGAGCCTAAAGCCGATGCTCAACTGCTGAGCCACCCAGGTATCCCAGATCGAAAAATTTAACTGGCATTTGAAGTACTACCCACCAGCGAATCAAATCAAGTTAACTGCCTGCTTAACAACAAAACAATAGATAAAAATAAAATTTTATTTTTTATTTTATTTTAAATTCTTTGAAATTCAAACTCTTTTAAATTCAAGTGGAGGACCTGGGTGTAGACAAAGGAAGATAAGCTTTCATTGAAATGGGAGGCAAAAACCAAAGGGCAAGTGTGAAGTAGAGCTCCATGTATTGTGATTAGGTTTCTCTGCATATACAACCCAAAACAGTCACTGCTTAGGCATGCAATATCTGGAGTTGGCAGTCCACAGCAGGTATGGCAGTTCCACAAAGCCCACACTTCGTCTGTTCAGTTCTGCTATCTTCGTCATACAGCTTGTATTCAAAAGGCTGGTGGCTTATACTTTATCCATTTTTTCCCTGTTCTCACCTGGTAAAAAGAAGGGATGAAAAGAGAGGTTATGGGGGAGCTTCAAGGCCTCTCCTTTTAAGATGCTTTCCTAAAGTTGTACATAACACTTTTCCTGGCCAGAAGTTAGATCCATGGCCACACCTAGTTAGTTGCATGTGAGTCTGGAAATGTAGTCCTTATTCCAGATGGCCCAATTTCATCAAGCTTGGTTCTGTTACTAAGTAAGGAAAATAGTATTTGGTGGCCAGATGGCAGTCTCAGCCTCAGGGATCAAGTTGAGGAAATTTCACTCTGCTAGCTTCCATTCTCTCCCAGGGTGGAGACATAATGACTTGCTTAAAGGACAGAAATAGGCAGGTGGCTCGCTTGAGGAAAATGGTGAAAGTCTGAAATAACTAATGTGAAGAGAGTAGGAGAGGGAACTAAGGTGGAATATGCAGAAAAATATGTTTCAGGTAGTTTGGAAGATACACAATTGTGGTGCATCAATCTTCATGGTGGTGCGATATATACATACACACACACACACATATATATATATATATTTTTTTTTTCTGTAGCATTCAGCAATCGGAGTAGCAGCACTGTGCTGGAAGCTATTATTTAGGAAGAATGTACATAATAATATTAATGAATAATGTTAGGGATCTGCCCCATTTTGTTACTACAAATATTGTGACATAATCTAAAAATTCAGCAGATTCTTACTTGTGTTAGAATTTTCTTGTCTTATTTATACTCTGTATCCTAAGAGATGGCTCAAATTTTTGAAGTATGCAGACAAGGACTGCCAGATAAAATCAACCAGGTGAGTAAAATTAAATGGTCCTGAAAGTCTCTTAGATTTCTCTGGATGAAATGTAAATTTTTAAAATTTAAGTTAATGAATAAAACAGTAAGTAAATAATAAAAATTTAAATTTTATTTTTATTTATTTATTTTTAAAGATTTCTTATTGATTTATTCATGAGAGGCAGAGAGGAGAGAGAGAGAGAGGCAGAGGCACAGGCAGAAGGAGAAGCAGGCCCCATGCAGGGAGCCTGACGTGGGACTCCATCCAGGGTCTTCAGGATCACGCCCTGGGCTGAAGGCGGTGCTAAACCGCTGAGCCTCAGGGGGGCGCCCCAAATAAATAAATTTTTAGGCAGCCCTGGTGGCTCATCGCCATAGCACCACCTTCAACCCAGGGCGTGATCCTGAAGACCCTGGATGGAGTCCCACGTCAGGCTCCCTGCATGGGGCCTGCTTCTCCTTCTGCCTGTGCCTCTGCCTCTCTCTCTCCTCTCTGCCTCTCATGAATGAATAAAAATAAAATAAAATTTAAAAATCTTTAAAAAAATAAATTTTTAAAATTTAAAAATAAATTTTAAAAAATGATTTATTGTAGTTATTCTAGAAATATCTTTTATCTTCTATGTAATACCAGAGGTCACTACAACAGCCTCCCAGCCTCTTCTTACCCCCCTTCAAATCTTCCTCCTCACAGCTGCCAAATTCATCTATTTGCTATATAACTTAATGCTTTCATTTGAAAACTTTCAATGGCTCCTTTTGTCTATTGAATAAAGTTTACACCCTTTACTGGTACCTATGTTTCTACTTCTTTTTCTTTTTTTAAAGATTTTATTTATTTATATGAGAAAGCGAGAGAGACAGAAAGAGAGCACAAGCCAAGGGGAGGATCAGAGAGAGAGGGAGAAGCAGATTCCCACACCCCAGCAGGGAGCCCAAAAGGAGCTCATCCCAAGACCCCAATAACATGATCTGAGCCAAAGACAGATACCCAAGCAGCTAAGCCACGCAGGTGCCCCCCTCTTTCTATTTCCATAATTTCCCTTCATGTGTCCTATCATCTTGCCAAATTAATCTGACCATTCACCAGGAAAATATATATAATTTTATTTTTTTAAAGATTTATTTTTATTTATTTATGATAGAGAGGCAGAGACACAGGCAGAGGGAGAAGCAGGCTCCATACCGGGAGCCCAACGCGGGACTCGATCCCGGGACTCCAGGATCGCGCCCTGGGCCAAAGGCAGGCACGAAACCGCTGAGCCACCCAGGGATCCCCTATAATTTTAATAATAATTTTGAGCATCAGTTTGGGCACAATCACATTAGAAGGCTGGTGGTTGTAGAAGCTACCTTGTAAAAGAAGAAATGTTTAGGGGAGCCTGGGTGGCTCAGTGGTTGAGCATCTGCCTTCCGATCAGGTCATGATCCCAGGGTTCTGGGATCAGTTCTGCATCTGGTGCCCCACAGGGAGTCTGCTTCTCCCTCTGTCTGTGTCTCTGCCTCTCTCACTGGGCCTCTCATGAATAAAAAAATAAATAAATAAAATTAAAAAAAGAATAAATGTTTAGTGTAGGAGTCATGAGTGTGGTATACAAATACCGTTTTTTCCTTCAGAGCACACTGCAGAATTGCACATCCCTGTCCCTTTGAAGGTAGGCTTGGTCACATGACTTGCTCTGGCCAATGAGATGTGGGCAGAAGTTGTACAAGTTACCTCTTCCCCACCCTCCCACCCCCCATGCCAAAGGTCCCAGGGCCTGCATTCATTCTGCTGTGAACACATAGAGTAATTGAGGAAAAAAAATAGTGTTCAAAGGAGCACAAGTTTATAGCCCCTTTGGTAAGCTCAGAGTTCTTTTTGGTATAAGGGGGTTTATATTCTGATTAATAAACAAATCTTGTTGGGCAGCCCAGGTGGCTCAGGGGTTTAGCGCCTGCCTTCAGCCCAGAGCGTGATCCTGGAGACCCAGGATCGAGTCCCACGTCGGGCTCCCTGCATGAGGCCTGCTTCTCCCTCTGCCTGTGTCTCTCATGAGTAAATAAATAAAATCTTAAAACAAATCCTGTTGTTTGAAACCTCTGATTTAGAGACTACTACAGCTTAGCCTAGTCTTCCCAAACTGGTACAGATAGTAAAGAAACTGAACTGGTGAATGTAAGCCTCTCTTTGGAGGTTTTTTACTTTAAAAATCAACTTTAGGGCAGCCCGGGGGCTCAGAGGTTTAGCACCTGCCTTCAGTACAGGGCGTGATCCTGGAGACCTGGGATCCAGTCCTGAGTCAGGCTCCCTGCATGGAGCATACATCTCCCTCTGCCTATGTCTCTACCTCTCTTTTTTTGTGTCTCTCATGAATAAATAAGTAAAATATTTAAAAATAAATAAAAATCAACTTCATTGAGATATGATTTATGCACAATAAAATGCATCCATTTTATATGTACTCTTGGAAGAGTTTTAATAAATACATACATTTGTGTAACCATTACCCTAATTCAGATATATAATATTTCCATCACCTCAGTACCTTTCGTCATGCCTCTATGAAATCTAATCCTTTTCTTCCCTCCTCCCACCCTTAATCCAGCCTCAGGTAAACACTGATCAGCTTTTTGTTAGATTAGTTTTGCTTGTTCTAGAATTTCATATATAGTATTATATAATATAGTTATATAATACATACTCACTTTGTTTTGAGAAAAAAAATTTTTAAGGATTTATATATTTTAGAGAGAGAAAGGAGGGTGGAAAGGCAAAAGGAGAGGGAGAATCAGGCTCTGTCCCAGGACTCTGAGGTCATGATCTGAGCAGAAACCAAGAGAGTAGGCTGCTTAACCACTGTGCCACTCAGGTGCCTCTGCTTGAAAAGTTTTAGAAGTACAAATGGTCTCTATAATTCAGCATACCTTTGCATACCTATAAAAGGTGAAAGTAGATTCAGCCTAACTAGGGTAATTAATCTGTACCTCCCCAAATTGTTCTTTTTTTTTTTTAGACTTTATTTTTTTCATGATAGATACAGAGCTACCCAGGTGCTCCAAATAAAAATAATTTTCATCCATTTATGAAGCCTGGGTGGCTCAGCAATTCAGCATCTGCCTTTGGCTCAGGTGTGATCCCAGAGTCCTGGGATCAAGCCCCTCATTAGGTTCCCCATGGGGAATGTGCTTCTCCCTTTGCCTGTGTCTCTGCCTCTCTCTGTATCTCTCATGAATAAATAAACAATATCTTTAACAATTAAAAGTTAAAAAAATGATAAAAGCCATATTCAAGGGTGCCTGGGTGGCTCAGGTCATGATCCCCTGCTCAGAAAGGAGGCTGCTTGTCCTCTCCTTCTGCCGCTCCCCCTGCTTATGCGCTCGTTCTCTCTAATAAATAAACTAAATTTTAAAAAAGAAATAAAAGCCATATTCATGCCATATCAGTAAACACTACAAGAAAAATCTATCGTGTCATGTTATCAACATTGATCACATTGATTTGGTCCACTTTTTTACCAATCACATAGTTAAAAAGAAAACCTAAACCATTATTGTAAACAGAAATTCAACAATGTCGGGGCACCTGCGTGGCTCAGTGGTTGAGCACCTGCCTTTGGCTCAGGTCATGATCCCAGGGTCCTGGGATGGTGTCCTACATCAGCCTCCCAGCCGGGAGCCTCTTCTCCCTCTGCCGATGTCTCTGCCTCTTTCTCTGTTTCATAAATAAATAGATAATAAACTAATTACAATTTCCGGTGCTCTGTTACTGTGGAGTTCCTATCCACAGCAACACTGTTATTCTCTACTTAGCTGAGAATTTTAGGTAGCCCGGGTGGCTCGGTGGTTTAGCGCCGCCTTTATCCTGGGGTGTGATCCTGGAGACTCAGGATCGAGTCCCACATTGGGGCCCCTGCATGGAGCCTCCCTCTGTGTCTCTCATGAATAAATAAATAAAAATCTTTAAGATGTGTGACTTTAATCTCCATGAAACATTACACGTATGTTTTTAAAGATTTTGTTTATTCATTCATGAGAGACACCCAGAGGCAGAGACACAGGCAGAGGGAGAAGCAGGCTCCCTGCAGGGAGGCCCACACGGGACTCCATCCCAGGGCCCCAGGATCACGCCCGGAGAGGAAGGCAGACGCTTAACCGCTGGGCCACTCAGGCGTCCGGAGACATTATATTTTTTTGATTGCTGTATACCTGATGCCTACCACAGTGTCGACCGCATAGTAGTTGCTCAATAAATATCAGTGGAATAAATGGATAGCTTTCCTTTGAACTGAATGTCTCTATATAAGTCTGTGTTAAATTACTGCGATGATTTAAGATTATAATTTCAATGACCGTGCGCTCCTAAAGGAGAACGCGTCTCGTACCTCTTGCCTCTTAGGTGTTGGGACAGGACGGAGATTGAGGCTGAGGAAGCCTGGCCAGGTGTACCGTGGAGCACGCATCTGCAAATCCTGGCACATCACAGTATTGTGTTGTCCGCTTGCATTTAAATGAAGGCCAAAAAAAAAAATAATAATAATAATAAATCAAGAAAACAAAACTCCACGAGCAGCATGTCCGCATATCTTGGTTCACCCTATTCCCTCTGTTATCAATCTTGGGTCGTGACCAGCGCCTCAGTCGAATTCTGCGTTATTTGGTTCCAAAACTGGATCTGTCATAAATTTATTCGGCCCTTGGCACTCACCAGTAAAGCAGACCCTCTGGCTTCCTAACCTCTGAAAATCAAATGGGAGGAAAAGGGAGCGAGAACTTTGAAGAAGATACCAAGGTACGACGCGGGACGCTAACCAGCTTCACGCCGCGCACCCCTACCCCCGCCCCGAACGCCGCCAGGAGACGGTGCGGACTGCGCAGGCGCGCCCCTGCAGCCCCGCCCCCCCGGCCTGGCGCCCGGCGCGCGCACGCCGCCCGGCGTCCTCGCTCCCGGGGCGTCGCCTCGCGTGCGCTGGAGCCGCCGAGGCCGCCCCCAGCACCGGAAGTGACCCTGGCGGGTTTGCCTTCAAATTCTCGGCGAGCTGAAGCGGCGCCGGGGCTGGTGACGGTTGGACATCGCCGTCCTGGGGCGGCGAGCGCGGAGCAGAGTGGTCGGGGCTGCGCAGGGCCCGGCCTCCTCGCCGCCCTGAGCCCCGCACGGCCCTTCCCCTCCGCCTGGCGGTGGGCGGTTTCCCACGGAGCCTCGGCAGCCGCAGGTGAGTGTTCACCCCCGACCCCCCGGGCCCGCTCGGCGAGGGCCTCGGGCGGCGACGAGCCCGCCTCGCATCCTCCCCTGAGCCTGCCCTTGGCTGCGCCGGGGTCTTCGGTCCTTGCTGTTGTCGCTGACACCTGTGGCTCAGGTGACGCGTCCCCTACCTGAGGAATGCTGTCCAGCCTGGGATTCGGGGGGCTCCTGGCGCTCCCCTTGCTAGGCCTGTGTCATCGGAGGAGTCTCTCATCGGGGAAAAAAAAAAAAAAAAGTCTTTCTTTATTTCTTCGCTTTTTGTTTTTTTTTGTTTTTTTTTTTTTTTGAGCGGCTGTCTCCCGAATCTGTCCACGCCCCCGCCCCAAACCCTCACCCCCGGAAAAACCTTGAAAACCTTGACAGCGGGATGCAACTTCTCTTTACATCTTGTTAGATAGGAGTGATATTGTTGAGGATATGCTTTATTCTGGCGCCCCGCGTCCTCTGGGAGGCTTTTGGCCCTTTTGGTGCAGAGTTGGTACCTTTTGGAAAATGCATCCCTCGAAACATTTGTTTCATACCCTATATTATAGGGTGACGAAGTTGGAGATAAACGTGGATCCTTACGTGCCCCCTACAGTGGATAGTCTCAGCCCTTATTTAATCAAAAATAATTTTCTCCTTTAACTGCGAAGTGCTGTTTTATATCAGTTACTAAATTTCCAGCAGCACAATTTTGCATCCTTTTCTCTTGAAAGCGTTCACTTCTGTGTTTCTCTTTGGAATCCTATCCTTTAGCTACTGCTAAAAACATTCCTAATGTTTTAGAATCTCTGCCACAACGATAGAAAACCACCGTGTCAAGAAAGATTCTTGTAAAGTTCACAGGCTTCTGAATGTCTCAGTGTGTAGCCGCATTGTCTTTTCCAAAGGAGATGATTTTTGTAATCAGGGAGTTCTCACACAGAAATAACTGAAGAACTCTATTTTTTGTATTTCTATTAATTTGTGGCCTGTATCATGCCTTAAAAAAAAATTTTTTTTTTTTTTTTAAAAAGCAGCGCTGATCAATTTCCGACATTCCTAAACCGTGGAAAGCTATGTAAAGCTCCTCTAGAGGGGATCCCTGGGTGGCGCAGTGGTTTGGCGCCTGCCTTTGGCCCAGGGCGCGATCCTGGAGACCTGGGATCGAATCCCACGTCGGGCTCCTGGTGCATGGAGCCTGCTTCTCCATCTGCCTATGTCTCTGCCTCTCTCTCCCTCTCTCTCTCTGTGACTATCATAAATAAATAAAAATTAAAAAAAAAAAAACTCCTCTAGGGCGTTGGTGATTCAAGAAGCTTTTACACTTTACAGATTCAGTACTCGGCATACTATACAATGGATTCTGCATCTTATTTTGAAACTGATGTCATAGTTTGACAAATACTAAGGATTTGGGAATCTTGTAGAATTCACCGTACTAACAACATTGTTGAATTTTTTTTTTTTTAAGATTTTATTTATTCATGAGAGACAGAAAGAGAGAGAGAGAGGCAGAGACATAGGCAGAGGGAGAAGCAGGCCCTCCCTCTAGGAACTGAATGCAGTACTCGATCCCAGCACCCAGGAATCACAACCTGAGCTAAAGGCAGATGTTCCACCACGGAGTCACCCAGGTGTCCCGACATTGTTGAATATATGTTTGCAACAATGGTTTAGGTTTTTCTTTTTGGCTATGTGATTGGAAAAAAAAAGACAGTGTATCAAATCAGTATAATCAATATTGATGACATGATAAATAGATTTGCTTATAGTGTTTATTGCTATGGCTTGAATATGGCTTTTATTTTATTTTTTTTTTTAAGATTTTATTTATTTATTTGAGAGACAGAGAGCACAAGCAGGGGGAGTGGCAGAGGGAGAGGGAGAAGCAGGCTCCACTCTGACCAGGGAGCCCGATGCAGGGCTTCATCTTAGGACTCTGGGACATGACCTGAGCCACCCAGGTGCCCCTGAATATGGCTTTTAAATTACATCTTAATTGTTATATTGACTTATTTTTGTTTTGTTCAGGGTAAACTGAGAGGTTATCAAATACATATTTATGTATTCTTTTTTTCCTGAGCAAGCACACTTTGATAACTTTCTTGTTCTTCTTGAGTATTTATCATATGGTGATTATAAAGGTAGGAAAAATGTATGCCATGCTATAATTGGTCATGGATCACTCATTTATTGTATATATTTATAATTGTTAGTGACTAAGTTAGCATTATGGTTGTTTTCATATCCCAGAGATGAACTTTCTGAACATTGCTTAATAGTATTGTCACTTTTAAAGTTACATACACTTGATTTACTGAAATTCCTTCAAGAAAATCTATGAATGAGGTTCATTTGTTTTTGTTTTAGGACATCAGTTTTACAGATAAATATTTTCAACATAGGTGTTGATTTTTGTAGCCTGTGCTTAATAATATGCTATGCTTCTTTACTCCTCCTAAGTGAAGCAAATACACCTAGAATAGATCAAATGATGTTCTGTTAAACTTCAAGGATATAAAGGTTTAAGTCTTATTTTTGTTTTCAGTGCAATTCCTTGGAACGGAATAGTTACCCAGTTAATATTTCCTGAGTGAGTGACCTATGCACATTACAGTAAAAACTGGAATATTAGTGGAACCCAGCCTGACTCCCTAAAATATTAAATGGATATGATATTCTTAGGTGTAGAATAGGGAAGGCCTCATATTTTTTTTGGTGGGGGGGAGGGAGAGTAGGAATCTCAGAACCTCAGATGTTTGGATCTATTGCCTATTCTTTTTCCATCATCTCTTTAATCACTTCTTTTCCATAATCCTGGAGAAGAAAAAGACACTCTAAGTCTCTTTGGAGATACCATACCACAGCAGATATTACCTTTTTTTTAAAAAAAAAAAAATTTATTTATTCATGAGAGACACACACACACACACAGAGAGAGAGAGAGAGAGAGAGAGAGAGAGAGGCAGAGACATAGGCAGAAGGGAGATACAGGCTCCCTGCAGGGAGCCTGACACAGGACTCGATCCCTGGACTCTGGGATCATGACCTGAGTTGAAGGCAGACACTCAACCACTGAGCTACCCGGGCGTCCCAGATATTAAGTTTACTAGAAATTTTGCTGTAGTATTTTTTATTGTCTAAAAAATTTTTTATAGGATTATATTTATTCATGAGAGACACAGAGAGGCAGAGACACAGGTAGAAGGAGAAGCAGGCCCCCTGCGGGGAGCCCGAGATGGGACTCAGTCCTAGGGCCCCAGGATCACAACCTGAGCCAAAGGCAGACACTCAACCCCCCTGCTACCCAGGTGGCCCTGTTATCTAAAATTTTTGACTCTGTTACTTGAAGTAAAATTTCATGTTGCACCTTAATTAGTTTAAATAAATTGATTAGTCATTAGCAAAAACAAATATACAAACCACATAAGCAAAAGGTTGGTTCTGATAGGATAATGTAAAGGAGAAGCTTGCTGTGAGATAAAGTAGGTATCACCTATAGTTATTTTTCTCTTTGTCTCTAATAAAAAAAAATCTGAGTTTTGGACAATCTCATTTTTGTAAGTGTTATTCCATTCATTGAACCAGTAGATACTCTTTACTGTTCATGGTGGTTAAAATTTGGTCTATAGGCTTTTTCCAAATATTCATTTCTTCAAAAATTGCAGATATTGGGAGTATCTGGGTGGCTCAGTTGGTTAAGGCTCTGCCTTTGGCTCAGGTCATGATCAGCTCCCAGAGATCAGCCCTGCATTGGGCTCCTTGCTCAGCAGGGAGTCTGCTTCTCCCTCTCCCTCTGCCTGCTGCTCCCCTGCTTATGCTCTCTCTCTCTGTCAAATAAATAAAATATTTTTTAAAAAACTGCTAGATGTTGTGCCAGATATTTCTGTGTCTGTTGTAGTTTTAGTTATGATATTCTTGAAAATTGGAGAGTCTTATAAATTTGCAGTGTTGATATTCATTTGAGAAGAAAGCTATCTGAGAGACTACTAGAAGAATAGGAAAATTTATTTTTGTCTCACATATAATCAACTAAGGGTATTTTGATACTATTTTTAGTGAATACTTTGTTTCTTTGATAAGCAGAATTTTTTCAGGTCATTTTTAAGATTGCCTTGGATTGCCTTTATATTTCTTTTTGTTAGAAAATGTCAACTCATTGGATGCTAAGGAATTTTATCTGACTAGAAAGAAGTATTCATAACACACAACCTTCAAAAAAAGACCTGGAGTGAATTCTGAGTTTCGGGACATTGAATCATGACCCTTACAAAAAAGTAGAGGGAACACCCATATATCAGTAACAACCTGATTTAGACTTTTTTTTTTTTTTTTTTTTTTTTTTTTTAGTAGGAGGATAGGAAGAAAGATCTGGAGGGAGTCAGTTAAGGAAAAAAGGGAGAGAAGGAGAAGGCATAAGAGTTTTGGGTTGTTTTTTTTTAAAGATATTATTTATTTACTCATGAGAGATAGAGAGAGGCAGAGACATAGGCAGTGGGAGTAGCAGGCTGCTCACAGGGAGCCAGATGCAGGACTTGATCCTAGGACCCTGGGATCACGACCTGAATCAAAGGCAGACGTTCATCCACTGAGCTACCCAGGTATCCCGGCAGAAGAGTCTTGAGAGCTAGGCTCATCTAGATCCACTGTATACTGGCAGCACCTGGCCCCAGCTATACTCTTCTAACATTGTTTCCCAGACTATGTGTCACTATGGGGCATTTATAGCCTCAGGGCAGAAGCAGTCAGACAGTTCTGATAGGGATGAGTTGAAGATCAAGGAATGTGAGAGTGCTGAGGGTCAGGAACTAGACAAAGATAAGAAACCTTAGTAGTTCAAACAAAAACCTGGCAGTATTCATTTATTCAAAGATTGACTGAATATTTGCTGTGTGCCAAACATGGTTCTAGGTGCTGGGGGTATATCAGTAAATAACAGAGAGCCATGCTTCCTGGCTGTGGAGCTTTTATTAAGATGGAATATTATCAGTGGTGATGACTCTGTGG